TTCCGTCTCGTTAATTCTGCCAATGTCGAAGGAGAAGATGAAGGCATGGACGCCACCATGGAACCCAATTCCGTCACTTCCATATGATTTGGTATTGAGCTGCCTCGCACGCGTCTCAAGGCTGTACTATCCGACTCTCTCCCTGGTCTCCAAGAGACTCCGGTCTCTCCTTGCTTCACCGGATCTTTACAAGGCCCGATCACTCTTGGGCTGCACCGAGAGTTGTCTCTATGTGGGCTTTCGGCGCTTTGGTAAATGTTTGTGGTACACCCTCTGCCTCAAACCTAATCGAACCCTAACCAATAACACCAGTCAGAACAAGCCAAGTGGTTATGCTTTAGCCGAAGTGATTCATCGTTCTCCTCCCGCCAACTTTTGGGGTCTTGTGGCGGTTGGTTCTAATATCTACAGCATTGGATCGGATGATATCTACGGAGATGCCTCCTCTACGGTCTCTATTCTGGATTGCAAGTCTCACACGTGGCACGAGGGTCCAAGCTTGCCTTTAGGGCTATTGGATAACTCTGCTAGTGTCCTTGACGAAAAGATTTATGTTGCTGGATACTACAAAGTTGGCCATTGTTCCTTGAAAAACTCGTTCCAGGTGTTTGACACAAAAACACAGATTTGGGATACTAAGCCCATCCCTTACACCGGGAGAAGCAGATTATCCACAACAAGCGCATGTATTGACGGAAAGTTCCTTGTGAGAGTTGTCAACGACGTGTTTGCTTACAATCCCAAGGAAGGTGGTAGATGGGACATGCTTGAAGAATGTTATGATATGTGGCCCCATACGGTACCAGATTCTTCATATTGCGTTATAGAGAATGTATTGTATCATGCTTTTCAGGAGAGAGACAAAGTTCACGGAGGCTTCAGATGGTATGACGCTAAGATAAACAAATGGAGAGATTTGAAGGGTTTAGTAGGACTGCCTGAGTTCCCTTATAATGCTAGTGTTACATTTGGTGATTATGGTGGAAAGATGGCTGTTTTTTGGGACCAGCGTATGTGTTTCGTTAATACGAGCAGGGTTTGGTGTGCAGTGATTGCATTGGAAAGGCGTAATAGTCGTGAAATTTGGGGGACAGTTGAGTGGTTTGATCATGTGCTTACACTCCCTACAGGATATGATTTCCTCAAGGTTGTTGCTGCTACTGTTTGATGAATGAATGTGTCACAAGGCTGTGTTCTTTTGGTATCACCTTATTTTGGAATTTGTTTCAAAATATATATTTTAAGGTGTGAATTTGGTGAATAACGAACAAAAAATTTATAATAAAATAACTAAATCTAAGCATTTTACGAAATTAGTTAGTTATTGAATTATAGTTTTTTTTTGTTGGTTATTAGTGCTAATTTTCCTAAATTAAATGAAATAATAAAACATATTAAGCCTGATTTAAGTCTGGTTTCAATGGCCCATTAAGCCAACGCCGAAAACGTTTAGTTTAGTGTCTTGTAATTTTGGTTCTTGGTTTGATTGTTGGGTTAGAAGAACCTCTTAAAAGTCGTGATCTCCCAGAGCTCGAATAGAGAGCTCAAGCGGTTTCACATATTGTTGTTGC